TTTCAGGATCTTCCTCAGTCTGCAGCTGTAAAAGGAAAATATAATATACTTAAGTAAAGCAATGGGCTGAGTCTGACCAAATGCACATTAGATCACTGACACTAGCTAAAATATAACTTTTCAGTAAATACCAAACTTTAGCTTTTATAATAAATTTAGATAGGATTACATATATTAAGTTGTATATCAAATAGATGGAAACTGTAGTATTAAAACACTACAATACGATTCCATTTGTTAGATAACATGACCTAACAATAAACAATAATTATATAGCAATTATTCTTCTTAGGGTTAATTTCAAAATTTACTAATACATAAATCACAAGTTCAATATGTTAAATTTATTTAATGCACAATGAACAAACATGAATGATCAAGTGTTGTTAATGAATGTTGTAAAAATATATTGTTCACTCACTGTAAGATGTTACTAGATTTAACTCATGTTAGATAACATGAAGTCATTGTACAGTAAAGTCTATACAGGAGATACAATTTAACTGTACTTTTATTTAATCCAAACTGTGTTCATATTTAAGTTCAAAGTTATTCAGCCAAGAATAACTACTAACTAAAAAAATAAAAAAGCCCAGAACTGTTTTTCTGATGGACTGATATGACATAAGCACTGTTAACCATACATTTGTACATACTCTAACACGCATATTTTGGATACACGGTTCATTTAAAAGCCTCTGGTGTGTAAAAATAGTAAATACCATTATGTCCTCCTGTGTTTTACACTAATAAAAGTTATAGGAGCATTAAATAGTTAACAAAGAAACTTCATTCTAATGCTCGTTATATTAGCGTTAGCCAAGCTATTTTTTTTAGTACCGACTTGGTACCGAAATACCGGGTCTTTTAACAACACTAACCCTGTTCATATCAGACTCCATTTGGATCTGTTTGAGAAACTGTTGAAAAATCACTGAGAGAGAGAGAGAGAGAAACATAAGTACTGACATATAGCTGATTAATTTTCTAATTAAACTTGCAACTAACAGTCACAGAAAAGTATAGCAATTAAAATAACCTGATTTTATTAAATTGAGTGATGATGAAATTTACAGTCAAATAAATGTTTGTTAGACATTAATGGCCTTTATATTTCAAAAGAACAAACAAGGAAAACATATTGCTGACAATTTTTTAAAAACAGAATGGAACTTTAAAAATGATGGCATTTAATTCACAGGTTAAGACTGAGCATACAATTATTTCTAATGGTAATAATGTTAATAGTAATGTTGCCAGAGCAACAGAGAGAGCTCACAAACAGAAAACATGAGTTATAATGGCAATGCTTATCAAGTAAGTAGACTTTAGCATTGCATATTAATATATTTCTGGTGTGGTGATCAGAATCCCCATCGGAAGTAACTATTTCAAACACTCGCTGGTGTCTGAAAGTGAGTTTTCAACTGGAAATTGTTTTAAATGTCTTAAATATGTTTTGTTAGCCTGATGTTATGGAAAATGAGCAGTGGTGTTGAGCCTCTCCTGACTCAAACTTTGCTCAAAACCACTGCTCAAAACCAGGCTTACTTTGGACCAAGGGCCGATGAAGCCCTGCAAGTGACAGTGGAAACGTGACAGGCTCTGGCACGCACTAGAACACTTGCTTTTGGCCTGACAGTGGAAACACAGCTAATGTTAATTAATAAGTAATTTACATTAAAACTGTATGTTATGAAGTGTGTAAGATTCAATAATTTTTCATAAAATATAAAGCGGCAAAGCCCATCTGCACACAAATAGGAGTTAAATTTAACATAGGCCTACCATTTAAAAAGTAAATCCCACATCACAACAAGCTACCCAGTCATACAAATTTTGCATATATAACAAAAAACAACAACCCCCTATCGTCTAATCGACTCACCTGTTAGAATGGCTGCAATCTGGCCTCAGAAGTCGACATATATAAAGATGAGCTGCAGATTTTGGATTCCATTGGTTTGAAAACGGCGCTGCATGGAGCGTATACACCGAGATGACGTCAGAACCTGAAAGACGGCTTGTTTGACTTGAAGCGCACTGCACAGACCGATCGGTGTATGACCACAAGTACCGCAAAATCCAGGGGCGTAAATTTCCTCTAACTAAAATTGTACTTTTTTAAGGACAAGTATACACAGCCTTACTACTATTAGTGCAGCAGGGAGACTGTGCCAAATTAGACAACTTCAAGCTGTTGTGGTTGCGCCGCGACAGTGCTTGTGCCCGTTGTAGACATTACTATCCGTCAAGCAGGTAACGTTATTATTGCTAACATAGCGGACTCATCGAAAAATACATTGGCATCATCTGTATTAAAGAGAAATTAATCACTTCATCCGATGTTTAAGTGAATAAAATAGCTTTGACAGTCGAGTTCCACAACTATTGACTTTGTTGCCTACAAACATGACATGTCTACGTCACGATGTGAGAAGATTTGCATAACGCTGCCCAAATGTTCACGCAAAAAAAGAAGGCGTAACTTTAATTCTTGCTGTTGCAGCCGCTGCCATGTTGTGGAGTCGCTGTGTGATTCATTGTGAAAGCGAAACTACTTTGTTTGGACTTGGTTGGAAATCAGTGGTTAACCCTCTAAGCGCCAAAGTCGCAAAATTGCGACAAGACGTCATACTTAATAAAATAGACTGTAGTTCCTAATATGGTGTAATATCTCATTTTATTCCCTACCACTAGATGGCAGACATGTAGTACTTAGATTCTAGACCAAAATTACGTCACGTTCCTATTCAAAGTGTTCGAGGAAATAGCAGAGCAAGTGAGCTATCGTGTCATTGATGCGGAAGCAGTTCAGTTCATAGCGTGCGAGTAAATTGTGAGATTTGTGAGAGAAAATCGCCAAATGGCTAATAAAAAGCTGTACTGTGAGGATGTGTACAAATGTTATTCGCCGATTCTGACTGTGAAGGGGAATATTTGCCTTTTGGAAATGACGATCGGTCATCTAATAATCGCGCTTCTCGCGGTACATTTTTGCAGCGCAATGGTGCCGCCGTGAAAGGCGCGAGTGTTCACGAAGCACAAACACGGCATCACAGTATGTTAAGGGGCGTAACATTTCCGTCACACACTTGAGGCATTCGGCCAATCCCAACGCACTGGATAGCTGGCCAATCACAGCACACCTTGCTTTTTTAGAATGATGAGCTTTGTAAAAATCCCCTTTAACAAGTAAAAAAAATAAAGCTGCAGCCCAGGGCCGGCGCCAGCGCTGCACTGATGAGGGGGCGGCTGAGGTGACGAAAGGGGGTGATGACGATGCACAAAGTAAAAAAAAATAAATAAATACATATGTGGCCCATTCACGTATTTGTCGGACCGTAAACAAACCTGCCCGCTACTATTAGAATACTGGGTTCACACTGATAGTGTTTTGGTCGCGAGACAGGTCAGTGGAAGTTTTTTTTCTTTAAACCGCAAGGTCTAGAGACGTGTTTTTAGAAGCTGAATTTCTTTGAACTTGAGCGCTGTGTTTTAGAATGATGTATTATGCGCAACAAGCTGCTATAAAGACCTGAGTCGAGCGCAGCATTCCGTTAGAACAACTTGAACAGCAACAAACAATAACAATACAGAGAAATAATCAACTAACTATGACCATCTAGCCCTCTATTAAACATGAAATAATTATTTCATCATACCTTTAGCTTACTCCGTAGTGCTGCATTCTTAGTTGAACCGCTTGCACTGAAAGTTTGTGTGTCAGATGTAACAATTATCAGAATCAGAATCAGAATGAGCTTTATTGCCAGGTATGTTTACACATACGAGGAATTTGTTTTCGTGACAGAAGCTTCCACAGTGTAACAGAATGACAGTGACAGAACAAAAAACACAGATAATAAAAAAAATAAAAAAAATAAAATAGAACAAGTAAATAAGGAATAAAAATATATAAATTGACAATTACTAGCCTTAGCACTAAAATGCGAATTTGTGAAACGGACTGTCATAAATTGTTGCTATAGTAGCATCATATTAATGTTAGAAAGCCTATGCATTTGGCAACTGTATTTTTTAAATAAACCATTATATTTCATAAGTACAATCTATTTTCACACTTTGATAGTTGCCCCCTCACGCCCCCCGTGGCGCCTGCCCTGCTGCAGCCATGTCAAATAAACAAAGTTCAGAAAAATGGTATATACTATACTGGTTACACTCGTAATTTCTGTTCCCATCACTTCTAAAATGATGGCATTCCAAGAACGTTGTTTTAAGAATGTTTTCGCTCTACATTATGAGAACATCAGTCAAGTAAAAATAACATCATAAAGACGTTACAAGAACGTTGTTATGAGAACGTTTTCGCTCAACGTTACGACAATGTATTTTAACTATGAAAACAAGAAAAAATAAAGCTGCAGCCATGTCAATTAAACAAATATCAGAAAAATGGTATATACTATACTGGTTACACTCGTAATTTCTGTTCCCATCACTTCTAAAATGATGGCATTCCAAGAACGTTGTTATGAGAACGTTTTCGCTCAACATTATGAGAACATCAGTCAAGTAAAAATAACATCATAAAGACGTTACAAGAACGTTGTTATGAGAACGTTTTCGCTCAACGTTACGACAATGTATTTTAACTATGAAAACTCTGTAAGACTGTTCCAGAAACATTGTCAGGAACGTTTTTTTCTAACATAACGTACAGTTTCTACATAACGTTAGTGAAAGTTATGGGAACGTTCCCTGTTAGCTGGGTAGACATGATCAAGACAATCATTTAAATGCTACAGCCTACCTGAGTATTGTTGCTGACCATGTCCATCCCTTTATGACAACAGTGTTCCCATCTTGTCATGGCTAGTTCCAGCAGAATAACGCGCCATGTCACAAAGCTCAAATCATCTCAGACTGGTTTCTTGAACATGACAATGTGCGCTTTGTCATTGTTTCTGAACTCAGCTGAAATGTATATTTGTATATCATCAGCATAAAAATGATATTTTATGTTATATTTCTGAATATATATTGCCCAAAGAGAGCATTTAATGAAAATAAAACTGGCACAAGAATTGATACTTGGGGAACACCATATAATATGTAACTGAAATGTATATTTGTATATCATCAGCATAAAAATGATATTTTATGTTATATTTCTGAAATATATTGCCCAAAGAGAGCATTTAATGAAAATAAAACTGGCACAAGAATTGATACTTGGGGAACACCATATAATATGTAATGTCTTTGATATACAGTCACCAAAAATTGCCTTTCTGTAATATACAGTTGCAATCAAAATTGTTCAACCCCTCAGAGACTGCAGTACTTTACAAATACAAGCCTTTCTGGAAATCCAGATTTTTTTTTCAAAAATTGCATCTATAACAGTTTACTGGGATATTGAAAGTGATAATGTCAATATATAATGTAATATTTTTGAGTTATAGGATTTTTTTAATAACACAGCTGTCATAATTATTCAACCCCTATTCAACATTGCTGTTTTTAAGTCACTTTTTTGTATGGTGGGGAACAAAACACAATTAAGCCTTTAGAAACTCTATTTAAAAACAGAATTAGCTTGAGCTTTTACACATACATAAAATTAGCCCATGCATGTGCTGACGTGAGTAGCAAACATGCAAATTCAACAGAGCTATAGAAGAAATGGGGCTAGTGTGCATGTCTGAGGTATAGACGCGTTTTGTTAGGGCTCCTCTCCAAGGCCTCGACAAAGTTATTATTTTGCCGTGTTTTCTTTAGTTTTAGGCCATTAAAGTGTGTCTACATTTTACGCATTTAATGTGAACTTTTGTCTCGACTCAATAATGCCGAAGCCAAATGCCTCCAACAAAGTTAAGAACACTGACGACCAAGTTTCCGGAGCTAACGCTAAAGCTAAAGCTAAAGCTAGCTCGCTTGACACGTCTGAAAAAATACCGGATACCGCTTATGCTATGTGCAAGGAGATATACAAAGAGATGTCCGAGTCAATCTTGCAGGGAGTTAACGCCCGCTTTGATGCTTTTGAACTCAATTTCCAGAAGCTTGTGACGTCGCAGGCCGAGCTACAGGTCCGTGTCAATCAAAAATAATTTTGATTGAATCAAGAGCTGGCTACGAACGACTTTGAGGCACGGATACAAGAGTTGGAAACCAGGAACTCAGAGCTTTCTAAACAAAATAGTCAGCTCCGTGCTAAAGTGTTGGATCTAGAAGCTCGGTCAAGAAGACATAATATTAAGATCGTGGGGATACAAGAGGGCGAGGAGGAGGGTAAACCCACTGAATTTGTTTCTAGGCTGATTCCCCAACTGCTCGGAGAAGATATTTTCCTCACCCGGTTAAAGTAGATCGAGCGCATCGTTCTCTTCAGCCTAAACCGGCAGTTGGTGAGAAGCCGCGCACAATCCTGGCACGCATTCACCACTTTCAAGAGAGGGAGCTGATTCTGCGTCGCGGGAGAGTGCAACCACTCGAATACAAGGGCAAAAGGGTCCTGATTTTTCCTGATTATACCACCGAGGTGATGTCTCAACAAAATGTCTTTCGGGACGTGATGCAAACCTTGCGCAAAAAGGGAATTAAGTTCCCGCTGCGGTACCCAGCCAGGCTGCAAATCCATCAACACAGAGCGGAGGCAGCTACAGTTTTTGAAGATCCGACGGAGGCAGCGCGATTCGTGGAAAGGTGCGGTGTGAACTAAGGAAAGTAAACTCAACTATGTTCGAACATTAGCCTATTATACTTTGCTGCTGGCGTGCCTACGTACACTTGGGACTCAGAGCTGCAGCCTGTAGCCGTTACGAATAAATAGGGCACTGAGACTTAATCAAGATCATATGGTGGTCTGATTTTATTTTTATTTATTTATTTACTTTTATTTTATTATTGGCTTTTTGATTGTGTAACTTCGTTTTTAAATTATTTTTTTCTATATACAGTATGTTTGTTATATAGCCGCGGGGAGGGGTTTTCCTTTCCCTTGAGATTATGATTTTGCTAAATGCCCGGCAGCTCATTTTTGGATGGAATTGGGAGTTTTGTGTCTGGTTTGGGTAGACACAATGAAGGGTGGGGTAAGTTGTGGGCTATTGTTCTTGTTGTCTCGGACCTGTTTGTCATTTTCTCATTTACTATTTCCTAATTTGTATTTTTTACTGTTTTGTTCAGGTTTTTTGCAATGTTTTTCTTTCATGCTGCTAATCATTTTATGCTACCAAAGGTGTATGCCCATTCTAATATCATCCTTTTTTCTCTTTCCATATGCAGAGGTCTTCTGGTAGAGTACTGACTGGGGGTAGGAATGTGACATTAGTCTCTTGGAATGTTAAGGGGCTAGGACATGCTATAAAGAGAGAAAAAGTATTTAGGCACCTTAAATCATTATCAGCAGATGTGATTTTTCTACAGGAGACCCATATTAAAGCAACTGAGCAGCGTAGGTTGCGTTGCAGTTGGATATCTCAAGTTTATCAATCACCATTCACTTCTCATGCACGTGGGGTGGCCATTCTCTTTCGGAAAAATATTCCATTTCAATTTTCTTCTATGGCTACTGATCCTTATGGCAGATACATTATTGTTTCTGGTACCATAAATTCTTTCCCGTTGACTTTCTTAAATATCTACAGTCCAAACACTGACGATCCTAATTTTTTCAAGAAGGTTTTTGACTTACTTCCTGATGGCAATAATTACAATATAATAATCGGGAGATTTAAATTGTTATTTAGATCCTTATTTAGACAGACTATCCACTCGTCCACCCACAGGAATTGCATCAGTACAAGTTTTAAATAACCTGCTTAATTGCAGAAATTTTGTGGATATTTGGAAAATTCAGCACCCTGCTGACAGAGATTATTTGTACTATTCGCATGTCCACAAATCTTATAGTAGAATAGATAATTTTTTGGTTGATTCAGTTAATTTAGCATGTTATTGATATCAGGTACCACAGCATATTGATCTTCGATCACAGCCCCCTTACCATGTCCATCGACCTATCTCTCCCTAAGCGATCTTATTCTTGGCGTTTTAATCCATCTCTGCTTACTGACAGTAAATTCGTAGAACACATTACCATCAAGTTGAAAGAGTTTATGGAGTTTAATGACAACTGGGAGGTGTCAGATTCTATACTTTGGGAGACATTAAAGGTGGTTATGCGCGGGCATGTTATTTCTTACGAATCTGCTGCCAAGAAAGAAAGAGAGAAACAACTTTTAAAGATACAAAGTGTTCTTCCTACTCTTGAATTGGCGTATCAGGTGTCAAAATCATCTGACGACTATAATAAGATACTGAAGCTTAAGTATGAATACAGCTGCATTCTTGGTGGTCAAATAAACAACCTCTTTTTGAGAATGAGGCAGAGGCATTTCGAAATGGGAGATAAGCCTGATAAGCTCTTGGCACAACAACTTAAAGGGGCTCAAGCTTCCAGGTCAATCTATTGCATTAAGTCTAAGGATGGCACACTGTTAACTG